TATGCACTTTCTCACCCGCTGAGAGCAAAACGCAATCCGATGCAATTTTAGTACTTACATGCCTCTGGGGAAAATAGACCCCTAAAAATCACCGAGTGCAGCACTGGAAAAATTCCTTAAATTTGTGCTATGCTTGGTGTTATAAAACCCAAGGAACCTTAGATGCTCTTCTTGAGTAAAATGGACTGGTAATTTTGTTTTGTTAGATTATCCAGCAAGCGTAATGATAATGGGTCACATGCAATTTAAGAAAAAATTAAGTCTAATAAGAAAAATCTCTAATAAATACTAACAGCATCTTATTGGTATCATCATTGGTCTAACCCTTCTATTAACATTTGTTTTTTTACATATTAAATGATCTGTAATATGTTGAAAATGAAGAGGATAGTAAAAATTAAAACCGGCATTCGAATAATATATGCATTGTACAAATGTTTGCATGTTTCTTCCCTCAGGCAAGTACTAGGAGGTGTGGTACATGCAAAGGAGTGATGCTAGGATAGAGCAGGAGATTTTTATTTTAGATGTGCCGAGCAGTGAAGATGCTCCATGCAGGGGATAGACCTCATCATTAACCAGGAATGCAACCAATTCAATGAAAGACAGAGATTAGAAATCAAAATGCAGCCCTGCGGAAAGTATACAGTTATCCCCTCAAATCAGGCTTCTTCTGGGCCACTGAGAAAGGGTGAACAAACTTAGGGAAACTCTGGTACCCAAGCAAAGGGCCTCGGGGTTCCTGTGCATTGATAGCTATCCATCATGGGCAATGTGGTAGAGTGGGACAGAGCAAGAAGGGTGTATTCAGGAAGCTCCCTTTATTAGAAATGTGCTTCTCAAGCCTACATAAGAATCTCCTAGGGAACAACCATAAAGTAAAAGTGCTTAAGCACCTATTTCCATTGATTCTGATTCAAGGGAACTGGGTAACACCCTGGCATCTACTGTTTTTAATGAGTTCTTCTGGTAACATGTCTGCACGTAATCATGTGAAGAGCACTGCATTAAATGATATTGACAAGGAGTCTCTTTCCCTTAGTCCTTTCCACCATGTGATTTAGGAGAATAGCAACTATTTCCAAACCCTACTGAATAGTGGCAGCCACAAATGTCTTGCCATGTCAGGCTCTCAATGGTTTCTGAGAAAGATTAAGCAGCCTTCAGGAGGCTAATCATGATTAGGTATTTGCTATGCAAGACACTGTACTATGTGTAGAAATGACAAAGGTCCCTGCCTCAAGGAACTTACAGTTTAGGAGGACCTAGCAGACAGAAACTCAAACAAATAAATGCAGCAAAGTGTGACATGTGCTGTGAAAAACCATTTGTATAGGATAGTGGGGACAAATGGGGTTTGGTCATTAGCTGAAGGGTTGCCTAAGTCAGCATAAGGCTTGCACAAAGGAGTGGCAGATGAGGACATCACAGGAGCCATGTTGAGGAGGTCAGATACTTGGGTAGTATCCACATGTTGGTTGTAAATGCGTGTAGGAGGGAAGAGCATGAAATAACTCCCAGGTTTTTCTGGCCTGAGTGTCTTTGTGGAAGGTGGAGCCGTTATGAGGATCAGCATTTGGAAGAAGTGGATTTGAAGGGAATGTTGAGTGTGAAGTGTTCATAGTCTGTAAATGCAGATGTTATAGGTTGTGGGTCAGCAAACTTTTATCACAAAGGGCCACATAGTAAGCATTTTAGGCATTGCAGGTCAGTCAGTCTTTGCCATGACCACTCAGCTCTGCCATTGTAGTGTGCAGGTAGTCACAGGCAATATGGAAGCAAATGGGGCTGGCTGTGTTCCAATAAAACTATTTAGAGGCCGGGCGTGGTGGCTCAAGCTTGTAATCCCAGCACTCTGGGAGGCTGAGACGGGTGGATCACGATGTCAGGAGATCGAGACCATCCTGGCTAACACGGTGAAACCCTGTCTCTACTAAAAAATACAAAAAACTAGCCAGGCAAGGTGGCGGGCGCCTGTAGTCCCAGCTACTCGGGAGCCTGAGGCAGGAGAATGGCCTGAATCCGGGAGGCGGAGCTTGCAGTGAGCTGAGATCCGGCCACTGCACTCCAGCCTGGGCGACAGAGTGAGACTCCATCTCAAAAAAACCCAAAAAAAAAACCCCCCAAAAAACCACAACTATTTAGAAGAACAGGCAGTACGCCAGATTTGGCCCACTGGAGCTAGTTTGCCAATCCTGCTGTACGTATAGGTATGATTAGGAGATAAAAATATAAATGTGGCTATGTTGACTCACATACATACATATATATTTTTTATATATATATACCTGGTATCTTTCTATGTAGACATATAATCATACCTACTTGATATAAAGGCTGCACTTCCTGCTTATTTGGGATAAAGAGGTTTTTCAAACTATCCAAAAGTCAGCTAATGATTGTCTATAAGGAAAAAATTAAATATGAAAATATAAATTAAAACAACAAAATACATTTTGTACTCAATGGTTTAGCAAAATTTAAAAATCTGGTGATACCAAGTGTTAGCAACATTGCAGAGCAACAAAAACTGAAAAGCAATTTTGATGGGAGTCGTGAATTCATATATCTCTATTGGAAAACAACTGATTATTTTCTAGTGAATTTGAATATATATGCCAATCCCAAGATCCAGAAATCTCACTCCCAGGACTCTGCCACAAGAAAAGCTATTACATGTGCTCAGATCAATATGAACTATACTCATAGCATAACAAAACAAAAAACAGAAGCCGGAAACAACCCAAATGATTCATTAAATAAAGTGAAATAACATTCAATATGGACAAATCTAAAAATCAAAAGAAAAGAAACCCACTGAATGATACCATATAATATCCTTTATATAAAGCTTGAAAGTGCAAAATAAAACACTGTTGTAAAGGGTCCTTACATTTTTGGCAATACTAGGATGAAAACCATGAAAATGAAAAATTCAAAATGCAGGTAGGTGGAGGCAAAAAAAAAAAAAAAAAAATTCTGACCTGATAGGAACAACCAATGGTATTTATTTATTTCTAAGCTTGGTAATGGGTAGACAGATATTTTTTAAATGATAATTCTTATTATTTTACATATATTATATTTGTTCCTTAACATCAAGCGAGTCTTGCATGATAATGAAAAACAAGGCAAAACCAAAATCTTACTAAGTTATCAATTTTATATTTTCAAAAATAATTAAGTCAAGTTTATTCTTTTGTTCAAAAGAAACATTCATTTTGGCGACTGATTTTTTTTTTTTTTTTTTGTCTAGCTCAGTTTCTTTCCAGTCATGTCACCTCTCCCCGTGATAGAAGGTCAGCTGGCTTCCAGTGTTTCAGCTGGGCAGGAGTCAGGGGGGTTATGGATAGCACAGAAGAGGGAGGAACATCAGGAAGGAGCTAACGTGGCTGGTGTAGGGTCATTTGAGTTCCCTATCTCTAGGAGAATGAGCATTGTCTTTGGCATAGGACCAAATGTGGTCAGAATCCTCCCTGTCACTCAGAAAGTAATTCCATTGCTGTCTTAATATTACCCTAGTCATCTGGGGTTGCAGGGACACTGTGTAGTGGTCTTGTGGTGTGGAAGCTATTGCTACATAATGTTTTATTTCTTGAATATCACTTTGTAGTGTCATGATTACAAGGCTTGGAAGAAGATAAACTCTCTGTCCATTCCGAATATAAATGGGCACTTGAGATGAAACCACCTCGTTAATTTCCCCTTGTTGCTGAAGTAGAATCTGAATCCAAACCACAACACAACCTAGCCCCTAAATCTCTATTAAAAACCACCTTGGGTAGTCTGGTAAAGCTTTATTTAAAGTCAGCAGAGAATTATAAAGTCAAAAGTGAAAAATGGTACAACAAGAAAGAATCATAAAAAAATACTAGATCAGTTAAATGTAGTCAAAGGCAATTTAGTGTGTTCTGGCACCAGCACTTATTGATGCAAAGAATGTGATGTGTCAGGGGTTGGCAAGAGCATGTAGGAAATGCAGAATGAAGGATGCAGCTCCATGTGTTGACTCCGAAACAGCCATACACGGCTGCAGAGGATGCTTCAGCTACCTTGCTTTTGTATCAGAAATTTCAGGGAGAATATTGGAATTCCTCCAGGATGGACATCTTTCTTCTGTTCTTTTGTGCTGGATATAGTTTATGTTTTAAAGTAGAATTCTTTCTTTCATGGAGATAAGCTAACATAGAGACTGTGTAAATCGGGTCTCACCAAACTAATATAAAGACTGTGTAAACTGGGTCAGACCAGGAGGGTAAGTAGCACTTGCTGGTACTTCTGAGTATCCTAGTATTCTAGTTTCTCCGGGGCTGCTACAGTTATCTGCTTTTTCACATCCCTCTCCAAGGTGTGAGGGTTTCTGCCTCATCTCCTTCACCCCTTTGGTTTCCCATTCACCAATATTAGCAGGTTTGCTCAGTAATGAACACAGCTACCAATGTTATGCAGCTACCCTTTTCCAGGCACTGTGCTAGGCCCTGCATATACATTCTCTCACTAATCCTCAATAAGCCCCGGTGATTCTTAGAACTCTTGTCTGAAAAAAAAAAAAAAAAAAGCCCCTGTGAGATAGGTCTTATTAGCATGTTGATTTTACACATAAGGACAACTAGGGCTAAGAGACTGAGAACTCACTTGAGGTGCCACAGAAACAGGACTCACCAGGCCGGACCCCTGTGTAGGAGCAGGCGCTATGCAAGAGGTGTTGGTTCTCTGACTCCATCAAAAGGTGGGTGCCAGTACCTCTAGGGGACAGAGTACAGGATAGCATAGTGTCAAGAGCATCAGGCTGAGGTCTGGGTTTGAATCCTGGCTTTGCCACTTATTGACTCTATGGCTCTGGACAAGGTACTTGACCATTCTGCATCTCTCTCTCCACAAAATAGGGACAATAATAACACCTGCCTTACTGAGGTTGTTGTGAGGATTGTGTAAGTTGCTATGAATGGTTTCAAATAGTTATTGTGGAAGTGCTGAATGGTGGTCCCCCTTACCTCTAGGGGATGCATTCCAAGATCCCAGTGGATGCCTGAAACCATGGAGAGTACTGAACCCTATGTATACTGTAACATTTTTTTTTCATGTACATTTATACCTGTGGTAAAGTTTAATGTAATTATTAGGCATGGTAAGAGATAATGATAACTGATAGTAAAATACAGCAATTATAAGAATATTACAGCATCACTACTCTTGCACTTTGGGGCCATTATTAAGTAAAATAGGGTTGCTCGAACACAACCACCGCCATACCACAACAGCCAATCTAATAGCTGAGACAGCTTCTAGATGACTAAGCGGCCGATTCTATATACAGAATGGACACACTGGACATAGCAATGACTCACATTCTGGGCAGGATGGAACAAGACAGTGTGAGATTTTATCATGCTACTCAGAATGGCATGCAATTTCAAACGTATGGATTGTTTATTTCTGGAATTTTCTATTTAATATTTTCGGACTCTAGTTGACTTTAGTGGGTAACTAAAACCATGCAGAAAGCAGATAAGGGGGGACTATTGTATGTATACATGTTGTTGTTGCTGCTGTTTCTATTATTATTATTATCAATAGTGTTGGTATTTTTGTCTTAAAAATATATCTCCTGAAAGTAGAGTGCCTTCACTGAAAGAAGTGGTTGTGGATGGAATCAGGGACAGGGGAGGTGGAAGGACCTGCCCCTGTTGCAGGTCAGATGGGAGGATATTCTTAGACATGCCACTCATTACCCTTCAAATCCCACTTTGATGTGGGCCATATCCACTTTTAGTAAACTCATTTGCCCCAAATGAAGCAGCTTTTGAAGATCAAACAAGAAAACTGGATTCTTTGAGTATATCCAGCTTGAGTACTTCCATGTCCAAAATGCCTTTCTTTCCTGTCTACAGATTCACCTCTAGGAGAGAAGGAAAGAGGTTTGGAGACTTCCTTTGGTTCTAGCGGCTCTTATCAGAGTCTCAATGTAGATTCAAGAGGAGTGATTGGTATACTGTAAACGCTTTAGAGGATCTGAAATAGATTAGAGAAACCTATTCCAGAGGACAAAGGCAGGACAAGAGGGAATCATTAATCTCATGGACATTACATTCCCTAAGAACTTTTTTTGGGAATGACCAGAAACATGCCAGGCCATGTGCTGTCCATTTGCAGTTCTTTGAGCTGTGGACTTGTGTGCATGTGTGTGATAGATTGAGGCCAGTGTCGTTGCCTCATTTGCAATGGTTCTTAAACTTGAAAAGGAACTGAAAGGTTGACACATGCATGCAGAGTCAATGCAGATGATTCGACTGAAGTAGTCCTGACAAATACCAGGGCTCTCCACATTGTCAGGAACAGTCTGATGATGACACGTTCGAAGCTCTGCAGACTGGCTTGCATCTTAGTAAATGTGTATGATCAGGGGAGACATAGTTATGCCGTGGAGAGTTCTGAGATGTGAAGAGAACAAGTTAATTGTTCAGCCTCAGCTGAGACCTTTCACTCAAGTCATTAATCACAGTGCACAGTCTGGAGTCTTGGCTCTGAAGTTCGATTCTTTAGGCTGCTTTCCTGCTCCAGATGAAAGCTCATTCCAGGTGCTGGCCATTTGTGTTTTCCTCCAGCCAGGCTGATTTATGGACCTGGAGATGTTTTCTGGTTTTTCCAAATTCTGTTCCATTACTTTGTAATGAGGGGGGACATGTGATTTCTGGCTTTTTGCAGATCCTCAGTTTTAACATCCCTAATACCAAAGATTTTTAAAATTCGTCTGTGGTCTGCCTTCTGTGATCTGGAGAATAGAAATGCTGTTCTGTGTTTTGAGTATTAAAGTTAAGACGTAGGGACTCTTATTTCTTTCCCCTTGGGCTGGAGTTGAAGTTGCAAGGGACGGGCAGGAACCTCTGTTCCTGCCTTCACCATCCCAATGCAAATTAAGTCTTGGGAAGCTCTAGTGACAACAACTCACTGCAGGTGTTGGAGATATCACCGTCCCATGCGAATGCTTATGGCTCAGGGTATAATATTAAAGGCCTTTCACACTTGGGCTAGGTCTCCGGTGACAGTGTAAGGCAATATTGAAGTTTTCAAAAGAGAATCTGAGTGTCAAAGGAGGACATTGTGATATGGAGGCTGAACAGGGTGCTGTCAAGTGTTACCTGTTTGACTGAAAGGTAAACCAGATCTGAGTTGATATAGGGCAACAGATCCCCTGGGAGTTTTCCCAGGAAGATAGAAGTGTGTCACAGGAAAGTAATTGGAAGTTGATATTTGGCATATCTCTGGGTTACTTTTTATTCCAGATAATACCAAGAGTCACTTGGTATTGGCCAAGAATCGTTAGTGACTTATACATCAAATCCCACAACCCATTGCTGAAATACAATCTTCTCTTCGTTGACAGTAGCCGGCTGCTTCCTGGTCCTCTGCTTCCTAACTAGTACTTTATGTTAGAGGCCCATGGCCCTGGTTTAGGTGAAATGCATGGTAAAAATAGAAATTCAATCTTATAAAAAACCTGTCTATACTTTTTAAAAGTTGATATATAATCTTTGTACGTATTTATGGAGTGCGCGTGGTATTTTGATACATTCATATAATGTGTAATGATTAAATCAGGGTGTTTGTGATAAATCACCTCCAACGTGTATCATTTCTGTGTGTTAGGAACATTTCAAATCTTCTAGCTGTTTTGAGATATAAAATAAATTATTTTTAGCTATAGTCATAATTGTGCGGTTGAACATGATGTCTTCTATCTAACTAAATGTTTGTGCCCATTAACCAGCCTCTCTTCATGCCCCTGCACCACACCAATTCTACCTTTTGATAATTCTCTGAAATAAAATTTTCACTGTCAGTGCTGTCCTTAAAATTCAACTCAACTCAACAGGTACTTGTTCAGAGCCTCCTATAGGCTTTATGTTGTGTTGTGTGCCATGGGACCTATAAAATAAGAATGAGACATGACCTTTGCCCTTGAAAAGCTTATGAGCTCATAGGAAGGATGATGTGCTTATGAAAAACATTTTACATGGCAAGATAAGCTATCGTGTATGTGACAAAGTGACTAGAATCGGGAATAAGTGCAACAGAGAGTCAGAAAAATGAGAGTAGGTTGTACTGGAATTGTCAGAGAAGACTTTATGGATGAGGTGGGACAAAGACACCAATATCCTAAACCCAGAACTCTCCCTTAAAGAAATTGTAAGAAGCACAGCATCAGGTTACCAAGAAATTGTGGAGCCCTTTTAAGTGAAAGTAAATTTGTTCAATATGAGAATGGATTAATTTAGTTCAACAAATATTTATTGAGTACATGCTATGTGCCAACAACTATATCTGATGTGATCAAGGACGAATAATGAGTACAAAGGGGACGTGTGTGTATTCTCAGATGCTAACTTCTCTCACATAGGTGTTTAAAGTTATTCCTGGTCTGTTGATTCCAAAGTCTGTGATTTTTACCATTCACCGTTCAACCTCTCAAAAAGACTTTCTCATCCAAGATATATTTGGGTTGAGGAGCTGAGTCTAATTTTTTGTGTGGTGGAAAAATGGCATGTCTAACTTCATAAGTTGTACGAAGTATAAAGAGTTGCATGCACACTGATTGTGAAAGAAAGGGACATTGAATTAGCATTGAATGTGGGCCTAAATTATTGGGTTAGGGAGTATTTGGAATAGTGTTAGAAAAGCCTGAACGTGGCCCACATTCAGGGCTATAAGTAAAGCCCAAGTTCTCTATAGATCAAGCTTTTCTTGGAACTTGTATCATGCCCCTTGACAGCTGATTTGGAAACCCAATTAGAAAGGCCTCCCATCATTAAAGGTGAGACAGTTTTGCACTGAGCTTTGTTTTGTTTTTTTTTTTTTTGTTTGTTTTTTTTTTTTAATTTATTTATTATTATTAAACTTTAAGTTGTAGGGTACATGTGCACAACGTGCAGGTTTGCTACATATGTATACTTGTGCCATGTTGGTGTGCTGCACCCATCAACTCATCATTTACATCAGGTATAACTCCCAATGCAATCCCTCCCACCTCCCCCCTCCCCATGATAGGCCCCAGTGTGTGATGTTCCCCTTCCCGAGTCCAAGTGATCTCATTGTTCAGTTCCCGCCTATGAGTGAGAACATGCGGTGTTTGGTTTTCTGTTCTTGTGATAGTTTGCTTCACAATAGCAAAGACTTGGAATCAACCCAAATATCCATCAGTGACAGATTGGATTAAGAAAATGTGGCACATATACACCATGGAATACTATGCAGCCATAAAAAAGGATGAGTTTGTGTCCTTTGTAGGGACATGGATGCACTGAGCTTTGTTACTTGAGAAATTTAAAATTGGCTCCACCCAGATATATTGGATAACTCACTAAAATCTAGAATTGATCTGTATTCCTCCTTGTAAAATAAGGAAAGCCATTATGTGTTCATTTCTTTGGGGACAGGTATAGCTGGACAATTGCAAATGGTTTTAGAAAGAAAACAATGTCAGGATGATAGTGGTGGTACTGGTCATCATCATGGAGATGGTAGTTATTATTCCAAATATCCAGATAATTTTAAAATAATATAACCATAGAACCCTAGTAAATACTAGAAAGAATCTAAGATATCAGGCATTGAGGCACAGAGGTGTCAGAGTTTATTTAGCTAAGCAATACCAGAAGATAACTAGAAAATCCTGCTTCCTAGCTGGCAGTCATTTGCATACCACAATGAGACCCCCGCTTAGTAACCCCTGCATTTCTGCAACCCATGTAACTGCTTTCTGAGGCTAATTTAGGTATCAAATAAAAAATGGAATTTTGAGAAAACCGTATTTTTTTTTGAAACTGAAGGGATTGGTGGAAGGAAAAGTGAGAAGAAATTTGAAATCTTGGTTCCTGACATTTTCCTTACTGTTCAATTACTCTCTTCATTGGAAAGGTTCATCTTGGCCTCTATGGGTGACACATCCACATGTGGTCGCTCACTCCTATGTGTGCGTGTGCATCTGTTGATATGCATTCCTCTTCATCATCTGTAGGCATTTTACAAATAATGGCTTGTGTGCGGGTGTGTTTTTTATCATCTTATTTTTTTAAATGAAAATGACAACTTGAAAATTCTTTGCAGAAATAATTCTTCTATGGTAAAGAAATTTCAGCATGTCTTCCAGGGTCATCTTTGGGTCACATAATTTCATGGAGGAGTTGGTGAGTGGGAGAGAGATAAACAGTGACTTTGGAATTTTTATCTTTCCATCCTGTGGCAAGTGGGCAAAGTTGGTAACAAAGAAAGTTGGTTGGTAGAGAACTAGGAAAATATATTCAAATAAGAAAGGTATAACAAGGTTGTGAGTGCAAACCAAAAAATTGGCAAGTACAAAACAAAAATTGGCAAGGCATAGAAAGATAGAAGAGGAGGCATGGATACTCTTCCCCTCCCTCCAACCCTGCTCCTCTGTGAAGCCATTACTGGGGTGGGGGCGGGATCAGGAGAGTGTATAAAGGAGCTTGGACTTTGCGGTTGTAATTCTTGTTTTTGATGAAGCTGTTTTGGAAGCTTTCTTCTTGAATAGAGCTAGGGGGATCTGAGGGAGGCTCAGAAGAGAGGAGAAAGGCCATTTGGAACTCGATCCAGGTTCTGGGTATAAAGATGAGAAAGTATTACAGGGTTTCTGTAAACCAAGGAGTTCAGGTTGGCAGGATGGAAATCTGACCCAGGTTTTACTCACCAAAATATGTGTGTGGAGGTGCACCTCAGAGGGGTACCTTTTTCATATTTATCCAAAGCACTGTGTAGAACAGACTAGTCCCTGGATAGGGGAATTTTAAATTTCCTTCTAAGTTTTCCAATCCTATCTGCATATTTTCAGAACTGGAGTTTCTAAGCAAGGCACTCTATATTTGTTCTCTTGGGTAGTTAAAGCACAGACAGCAGGGAAGCATGGTGGCTCACAGAGCGAACTAGCTGCAGAGACCACCTTATCCAATGAACGAAGTAAGTATAAAATGGAAATGACTAAAGGGGTCCTTGATTTCACTCTCTTGAGATGGCATCCACAAAGCCAAGTGTCTGGAGACCCACATTTCCAGCTTCTCTCGTCTCCAGTCTCCCTTTAGGAAGGCTGTGAGCAAGCCTGGCCTTCGTAGTTCTTTACTTCCCTGTCTGCAAACTCCCTGCAATTATTATGCAGATCCTTACACTGTGTACCATGGGAGTGTGAGGCCTCTGGAAGAAACTCTTGACTTTGAGGAGCTTGGAGGCCTTTGTGAAAACAGGAAAGACAAGCACAATCCTAGTAAATGAAGTGTGTACAAAGCCTGTTTGACAACAAAGTCCTCTCTAGAGGACCTTGAAAAATCAGAGACCGCCATTCCATATGGAGAGGTCCTTCCACCCTCACCTCAGTGGTTGTTTTTCTCTCACTGAAGAATGAAAACGGTAAATGGCCTCAAGCAAGCTAAAAGCAGATCCCTCGGCTTTATTCATTTCCTGACTGCAATACTTGGTGGTAGTATTAGTAAAGGCTCTGGCAGTCCTCATAGGAGAAATGCCAGTAATGAGGCAATGGAATGTTCATTCACCTGCTTTATGTTCTTTTGGAAATAACATGATTTATAAAAGAATACAGAATCATAATTGCCAGCCAAGATGTCATTTTAACCTTAGGATGTCCAGAAACAAAGAGATATTACATCCTTTGTTCTTGGAGCACCACTGGTGTCAAATTATGCACAGCGTTTCCTCTTGGCATTTAGTGCTTGTGAGCCTAACAGCAGCCAAACACTGACTTCAGAAAGATGATGCTTCTGATGGTTTTCTCACCTGAATATCTCCTTGGTGCTATGGGAGACAGCATGGGCCTTCTAGCTTCCCTGCATTCTGATAGAGCAGGAGCCAGGAGGCATGGTAGTCTTAGAAATGGCTAAGGGTTGGGGTATACTGTCTTTGGCCTTTATCAAAGGAGCTGAACAAGAGTCCCATTAAAATGCTGGTGAAATAATTCATAACCTTGGTTTTATCTGCACATCAACATATGCCAACAGATGCTCAGTGCAAAACATGAATATTTGATTAATATAACATCAGGCATCTGGAGCAGAGAGCAGTGGAATGTTGGGGGGATAAGTAGGACTGAAATGTTATCCATCTAATCACAGCTGTCTGAATGCACATAGTAGGCACTGAAAATATCCGTGATTATATTTTCGTTGATTTGAATAACTCTGTTGCTTGGTTTTGAGCCCAGATGTTTGGCGTCCCGCTGGAACTGTGTGCTCTGTCTCCTGTCATCGGTCTCATCAGCACACAGATGTTCGGCAAGGGACAGCATTCCTCTAGTCTCCGTTGTAAGGCCTCTTCTCTCTTCTCCCAGCCCATCCACTCAGGCTCCTGTGACAGTCAGCCACAGAACACATCGCAGGTCACCCATGGAGCTTGGTGCAGAAACAGTCCACCACACCATTTTGTCATTGTGGTTTTATCTGAAGGCAGAGAACACCGGAGCCTCAGCTAACAGAGTAGACTAATGCTGATGACAAGTACTTGAGTGGTCATTTCATCATTCATTCCATTGGTCATTGAAAAAATGTTGAGTAAAGGCTTATTAGTCCACAGCACTTCCCTGAAACCTGAAGAAGACATAGGAGAAGACCCTTGGTAGGAGAGGGAGAAGGTTACAATGTGAGTGAGAATATGAGACATTCATTAACTTCCAGGGAATGATAAGACTGGTTACATTAGTGCTGAGGACATTCACAGCAGAGGGGAGGGGAAGCTAGTTGGTAGAGTGGATAGATAGCACACTAGATCTAAGTCTGTATCTTGGATCTCTCTCATAACAGCAGCATGTGGCTGTAAACCCAGACCTCAGTTTCCTCTGTAAAATAAAGGAGATGCATTAAGATGCTTTCTATGCTCTTCTGTACTATCCTTCAGTGCCACTTTGCTCTGATCAAGAATTGAAGAGAACCCCATATTCCCATGGTTTAATTTTCCCAGAAGACCTAGGACTGACCACTTTCATAAGTAATCAGATAGACTTCTAATAGTCAAAGGACCCTATGAATGAAAGGTAGTAAAAGAAGGCATACACTGATGCCTTAATATCTTGGTTAGAAGATAGAACTTTTGAAAATCTATGAAAATCAATTTTGGATAATAATAGAAAAATTTGTTAAGGCTGGGAGTAGAGCTCTGCTTCAAAGTGAAATAGCAGCAAGTTTTACCTTTCTTCATGTACCATCATTCTTGAATTAGTTATTAACCTCAGGACCAAGAGCATCTTGTTGCCCTTGGATTGGTCCAGTGGCATTTCTTTCTTTCTTTTTTCTTTTCTTTTTTTTTGAGGCACAGTTTCGCTCTTATTGCCTAGGCTGGGGTGTAATTGCACAATCTCGGCTCATCACGACCTCTGCCTCCCGAGTTCAAGTGATTCTCCTGCCTCAGCCTCCTGAGTAGCTGGGATTACAGGCATGCGCCACCATGCCTAGCTAATTTTGTATTTTTAGTAGTGCCGGGGTTTCTCCATGTTGTTTAGACTGGTCTTGAACTCTTGACCTCAAGTGATCTGCCTGCCTCAGCCTCCCAAAGTGCTGGGATTACAGGTGTGAGCCACCATGCCTGGCCCTAGTAGCATTTCTGACTTCCTTGGTTCACACGGTCTTGGTATGACAGCCCTGTGAATGGGTACCTGAAGACCTCTGCGGCCAGTGTTCAAGGTGGCTTTTCTTTAGCTCATCTAAGCTACAGGGTCTGTATCTTTAAAAAGTAGAGACAGCATGATTAATCTGTAGTTGGACAGGTTAATTGTGGCTTCCAATGTCTTCAGATCCTGTGTAGGCAGATCAAGTAAGTTACCTATA